TTGGTTGACGTGGCTTCCAAAAGGTGCCAAGAAAGATTCCATAATAATAATAATAATAATAATAACCATAATAATCATAATAATTATAATAAAAAGATACAATATGATACATAAATATGGAAGAGCAGTTGGTAATATGAATACATTTTTCTCTAGACGAGATCACAGTTTTATTTGTAAATATTACACTGATATATATATAATATTACCCACATAATATTATATATATATCACATATATATTTATATATATATTTATATATATAGTACGGCTCAATCCTGCTCCCAGTGAAGTCAACAGCAACAAAAACCTGTGTTGACTGGATGGGAGCAAAATTCAGCCTCTCATCTGCAGACAGGTACGTAATTACAGAGGCCGTACAATGCAAACTCCGCAATGGTTCCAATTCCCTCTTGAATTGCTGGTGAAATGTTTCATTAAAGCCCTGGTTCTTTGCACTCAGAAGATGGAAAACTGGCGGCTGAATGTGACCTCACCAAAAGAAGGAAAAACCAAAAGACTGAAAAGTAAGCCAGAATGGGAACCAAAGACAACTTGGACTCGTTAGCTCCGCATCTCGACCCGACAGGACTAAAACCACCAACAAGTAGCACCAAGACTCCTCCTCAAATGTCTGAAGCCACCCCAAGCTCTGAGTGTGGCCTCAGAGGAAGTGATTCTCATTCTTAATGAATCTTGGATGTGTAGATCTGGTGAAAAGGGGAAAACTCAGTTTGCCAAATGAAGACAGAAACAGAACATTGAGCCTCACTTTGCTCCTGCTAAAACAAAGAGGGGGTTGAACCCCCAATTGGCAGGAACAGCTCAACACCAAATCCCTACTGCCCAAATTGACTGTAGCTCCAAGGAAATACATCTTGGGCCACTGAGACCTGCTCCTGCTGATATTTCGGTCATGCTCCCACTGAACTCAGTGGTCAAGGTCCTCCAGGGAAATGGGGCTGTTCTCGGGGCTTCAGTGTGCCCAACTGATAAGGTCACCTGGAGGCAGGAGCGCTGCTGCACCCTCAACAGGGAGATGGCCTTCCCCAGAGGGTGGGAAAACGTGGAAAAAACGTAAAACAAATCAGCTCAGCTGCACCACTGAGACCAAAATGGGGCCCACAACCATGAAGATATCTGGTGATAYTTAGAGCCATGTGGTCCTCTCCCAGTGATCTAAACATGCCCATCAGCTCTCAACTGGGGCCTCCAGGGATTGGGCAGGGAAGGGCAGGGAAGGGAGGGAAGGCTGGGAATTTCCACAGCACCCAGAACAGTTCAAAGGCCAAACTGCCAGCTCTGAAACCCCTCTGAGCACCCCAGCCTTTGCTGGCTTCACCCCATCCCCTCCAGTCTTCTAGCTCGGCCTTGAATGGACTCAACGGGCTGGGGTGTGGGGAGGGGGTGGTCAGCACCCCGCTTCCCCAAAATGGGATCACCTGTCTGCTCAGGTAGCAGCTTTCTCCTTCYCCTTTCACTCCTAGTCTCTCGCAGCTCTCTGGGATTCAGACTGTGCAGTGCTTCTGAGTGCAGTAATTCGAGCACAGTGAAATACTGGTTAAATGCGTTATGTACAGTTGGATAACGTAAAAATAAGCACAAATACACGCTTAAAAAAATAATCTGGAAAAAAAAAAAAAAAACCCAAAAAAACAAACTCTACCCTGCCCTCCCCCCACAAACAACAATATATCAGGGGATAAACCCCATTATAGCCTTAGTTCCTGGACTTATCACAACGCACAAGGAAAACAAAACCAGACAATGTTATAAAACCTCACGGTACTTCTAGGGAAATCTACACTTAGTATCTAGCTCTCTACTCAGCTGGCAGAATCGGTGTTTTCCTTTTCAAACACACAAAACAGGCTTTGCTCTTCTTGGATTTGGATTATGCGGGTTTTCTTTTTTATTTCTTTTCTCCTTTTTATGGGTTTTTGTTGTTTTCATTTTTTTTTCCTCTCCTATTTCTCTCTGTAAAGCTTCACTTGTTATTTTTTTCTTTCCCCCACTTGAATCACTTGCAGCAAGAAACTTTTGTTGGCTATGGGGTTTTCTTTTTTCTCTCTCTCTCTCTCT